ACCATTATACAGGTTCTTATTTAAACACTAGATACCATTATACAGGTTCTTATTTAAACACTAGATACCATTATACAGGTTCTTATTTAAACACTAGATACCATTATACAGGTTCTTATTTAAACACTAGATACCATTATACAGGTTCTTATTTAAACACTAGATACCATTATACAGGTTCTTACTTAAACACTAGGTACTATTATACAGGTTTGTATTTAAACACTACATACCATTATACAGGTTCTTATTTAAACACTAGATATCATTATACAGGCTCTTACTTAAACACTAGATACTATTATACAGGTTCGTATTTATACACTACATGCCATTATACAGGTTCTTATTTAAACACTAGATATCATTATACAGGTTCTTATTTAAACACTAGATACCATTATACAGGTTCTTATTTAAACACTACATACCATTATACAGGTTCTTATTTAAACACTAGATACCATTATACAGTTTCTTATTTAAACACTACATACCAACATACCATTATACAGTTTCTTATTTAAACACTACATACCAACATACCATTATACAGGTTCGTATTTATACACTAGATACCATTATACAGGGTCTTATTTAAACACTACTTACCATTATACAGGTTCTTATTTAAACAATACATAACATTATACAGGTTCTTATTTATGAGCCTAATGTTACGTTTATCAATAATGCTATTAGTAAATCGTTTGAATAACTCTATAACCTTTATTCACTTATTATTTTTTTACAGATTTCATTGTAGTTCGATTACGTTAGGGACACATCTATGCTGACTTTACAATAATATTTTTCTGGCGTACCTTTTCAATAAAGTGATTTTATAAGACATCATGCAAGAATGTAACTGTTTTTAACCTCAGATTTGTGAGATTCCTGTACACTATCTTCAAAAGCACATTTAGGTTTTGTTTATTTGTGAGGTTTATTATGTGAACGGAATGTACTTTGTTCTATTCTGCTTAGACTTCTTTATATGACCTCCTATAACACGCCCCCGCAATCTATTGAGAACATTTTACCTAAAACTTTGTCTATCATTAACAAATCTTGCTTCATAAAATTTGCCTACAAGTTGGTTAAGTGTATTTTATTAAAACTTTGACGTCATTGATATAACTAAGATACTGTTTGTTTGTTTTTCGGGTCGGTAATTACTGATTAACTTAGTTAAGTCAAAACACGGTTTTCAGCTACTTTATGTTCCAAAACTTCTTATGTACACTAAAATTTCTCATACTGACTACACAAGCACTAACACAACTGTTAAGTCACGAATGAAACAACGGGTGAATGATAGTTGATGAAATGACGATGTTTTGGAACGTTGTCAACACAACTTAATTATATTGAACGTTGTTTTTATTATTTTATAATTATTTCGAGGCTTTCAACTAAAACATTCTAAAAATCAGAACTAACACATTTCAAAGAAAAAAAAAGTAATTCCGTCGGAACTGTTATTACATTAAAGCTATTATTCAATTCTCAAACAGACAAGTCTGGTTGAATACGGAGAACTGAATATTTCCAATACTGGTAATGCAATTTCACCAAAAATGTTATATATAATATATTTGCAGGCCACGTTGGTGACTGTTTGTGTATCCATAAGTGAGGCTATTACAGGGAGGTAAGTAACCTTATCATGCTGTAAAGTGGGTTTGGTTTAAGAAGGATTTGGTGAGAAATACCAGAATAATTTGTTGGGATTAAGAATATTTTTGCTGTATTAAAACTGAAAAGTAAATATGTGTAAGAAAATATTCAGAGCTGACGAAAAGTAGAGAAAATTGAAAAAGATATCTTAAAATGTTTTCTTCATTTCTGTACATAGTAACTTAAAATAGTTTAGAAGATGAAGAGGCACTAGTTTCTTAAATATGAAATATTATCCAAGCAAGTCTCTCTAGATGATGGATGTTTTCGTGTGAATGACTTGGAAGGAACGTAGGCTGTAATCCATAATGTAATCATTCGAAACCGAGAGATATTTTCTCTTGTGCACCATGTATAATCAGGCGAGTGAATAAATAGGTTTAACGAGTAATCCGAACCCTCAAAGTACTAACAAAGGTTTATTTCGGGTGTATAACCAGATAAATAAGATATCTTAAACTGCTTTTTTAAGAACTTAAATGGACGGCGTTTACGTTCTAAACATCATAAGATGTAATACAGTCAATTTACTTGAATAATCCGAAAATACATCAGACTTATGGAAATAAGAATAATGATACCACAGTATTGTCACTTAAATTGGATATTATTTGCGTGATAAGGCAAGTGTTGTAATGTATACAACTGTTACCACATTTACATTACACGAACAGCATGATAAAAAATACCTTCATCCAAACAAAATTACTTATTTTGATGAATAAGAATTATTGTCAATACTAGAACTGAAACATTTCAGGATTTGTTTGAAGTTATAACTGAACGATATTTGCAACCACCACATCGTTTAATTTCAAGATTGTGCATGTTTAAATAAAAAATGGGTTAGCTTCTGGGATCTAAATACTTTACAAAAGAAATGATTGAGTCAATATAAAATTATAAACATTCATATTTGGAAGTAAGTTACTCATCATCTTAATTTCATGAAGATTCATATTTATGCTTGTTGTTTTCTAGGGCGCGGGTAGTGGTAGAGCTTTGGATTTCAAAGCTGGCGAGTTGGGTTCGAATCCATGTAGCACCATAAAATATTTCACACATTTTTCAGTTATGAATGTGACGCGTTATAAGAGTGACAGTCAATCCCTTAGCATAGAGTACAGGTGCTGCTGACTTGTTGCCTTCGCTCTTCTCAAAAATTAAGAATGGCAGTTTAGCTTTATTATCTTTGAAATAAACTGGTACGAAATACCAGTGCTCTGCTGCAGAGTTCAAAGGCTCCTCATGATTCACAGAGACCCCAGTGTACCGTTCAAGCATCTTTATTATCCCCAATTACCACTATAGCCCCCAAAATGGTCCATATCCAAATAACAACCCCGTTAGGCCATCCGCCCTTGGTCTCGTGCGCCAAGTTTCGTTCTACTATGTTGTGAGAGAGGTATAAACAGAGCTATAAGCATGTTGCCCAGATGATCCCAACGAGGTCCAGAAACATAAAATCTGGTTACAGATTCAGGTTCAACGTCCCTGAAAATCTAATACTAGTTCCAAATCATGCTTTGGTGACCTTCTGTTGCGTTTTTCCTGTTATGTAAGATTTTGTATAAGGCCTCGGAATAGGTTTTACAGCTTAATTATTCAAACACGTTCTAACAAAACACTAATTTCTCAACATACACTATCATTTGGTCTTTTGGAATGGTTTTCCTCATTGTTAAAAGTGGGATGTTAATGGTTTTACGTAAAATTTATCTATTCTATTTCATATCTATACAAAGTTTGAGTTCCATTCGCCTATTCGTCTAGGACTTCTATAAATACATTCATAATTAAAACAGATTTGTGAATCATGTTTTTATCAGTACTAATTATACATCAGACTGTCGTACACAAATCGTGTCTTACTGATTATTTTATATTGCTGAAAGTAAAATCCGATCATGCTTAACAGATTCATACTGATATGATCATTTTTTAGAATTTTCTCGTGGCTATGAGTAATACATAAAAAAACTGAAACAAATAGGTCTCAGTTGGTTTGAACTACATGGGTTTAATACCGTAAATTCAACCTATGAGAACAATGTGTAGTCAGGGAAATTTAAAAACCGATATTTCAGGATATTAAACCAAGTTTCTGATATCAAATTAAGTGTTGTGGTCGTTTTCTATAATATTTTTAATACTAGTACAAAATTTAAGAAAGAAATCTGTTGTTACGATATTTAATGTTTTAAGGCTACCTTTATTTGAACAGCTACTATACCATTAATCTAAACGGAAGAAGAAAAAAATATTAATTAGACTTAAATAAAAAAATGAGATGAAAACCACTATTAACAGTAAGCGTTTTTTGTCATTATTGTTATTTTCAGAGTAGTTTATTTCTGAACAGTTTCGTTAGCTGAAAATATCCTGTAAACTTAGAAAACGTCGATGATATAAAAAGTTTTCCATCACGACCGGGACCGCATTTAATGAAACAAATAGTTTCATAACAAGGTTTACTGGTAATAAAATCAGCACGTCAATTCTTCTTTTATTATATAATCCTGTGATCGTGTTGAGTTCCTTTAATTATTATTAAGCTTATCTGTAAACAAAGCTATATATTTGCTGCTTACCAAATGTGAGGAAATTCTAGGCTCATGAAATACCAAAACAACAGCTCTATATGAAGCAATGGAATAGCTGAAGAAAGGATTTATTTATTACACTCATCAAGTGAAACAGGATTTAAATATTAACCTTGTACGTTAAGAGTGTCTAATATGCTTATGTGTAGCGTTTAAAATACTGAAAATTTCCTACCGTTATGTTGTGTAATCAGTGAATCCGAGATAAGATTGTTTTTTCAGCAGCCACTCAATTTTACTTAAATTCCACCTAAAACATTTTGCTGTCGTCATTGTAAAGGAGTGTCCGTATTTGCTACATTTGATTCAATAGAAAAAAGCCTTCATCAATAACTGCCACTCAGAATAGCAATGAAGAATCAAGTTTATGGGATTAGTAAGAAAATAAAATCGTTTTGGACTCAAAAAGCTGCTCTAGTGAGAAATCCTTTTAGTCATGAATATCGGTTTAAAAACGTTCTCACTGTGGTGGGAATAACAAGCAAATGCTGCAACTTACTAGAAAAAACTTCAACTAATGAAAACTACTGCAAAAGGAAAACGTTATTTTTATGAGAATTATATAAAGAAGTTTAGGATTTTTATACGAAACTGGTGGCTTCATTTTTTCGAGAAGAATTAATCATTTGGTTTAAAACTCAACTGGAGGGATAAGAAGTAAAATTTGTGACTTTTCAAAAACGAATATGGTGTTGACTGGTTAAATAGTATATTAATTTATTTAAAAAATACACATCTTATTATATATAACACGTGCATACTTTCAAAAAATAATTCAGCAGTTAAGGTAATCATAAAATAGCAGATATGCTATTACAAAACCAAGTTAATTTTCTTGTTCAAAAACTAAAAGCATGTGGCTATTTGTATGCATCAGTGAATATATAATTATTTACAACATCAGTAGGCATGTCAGTATGTCAGATCAAATATAAAATATCTGCATTTTGATAGCTGACGTTTGGCTAAACTGTCTGACTAAATTAAGATGTGAATTTTTCAAAATTAAGAGTCAAATTTATTTGTCGCATGATATACAATATTTGATTTTGAACTTAGAATGAAGTTCATGAAAACAAATGCTCGATGTTTTGCAGGGTGGTTTCAAGGAAAAATGACTACCAGGGATCTCGTGACCTTCATTTTCTGGATAGTCTTGCTTCCGTTATCCCTAGGTGGCGCAGAAGCTGCAGAATCAAAAGCCACTGATGTTGGTGAGTCTACTATAGCTCTTTGAGATAATCTATAGTTTAATGATAAGTTTAAATAAAATGATTAAATCATTATAAAGATATGTAATAAGACGTCACTTATGAACAAGAGAATTATAAATACCCTAAGTATAACAGCCATTAAGTGCTTTTAAATTTTTGATTTATGTAATACGGTAAAATACTGTTTTAAGCAGTACGCTAAAATATTGTTTTATGCAATACATTAAAACACTGTTTTATGAAATACATTAAAACACTGTTTTATGCAAAACATTAAAACGCTGTTTTATGCAATACATTGGAATACTGTTTTATGCAGTACATTAAAATACCGTTTTATGCAATTCGGTTATGCGCTTGTTAACTTTCTGAAAACAAGGTGAATGTTACTACACTAACAAAACTGAAGAAGAACACAACTATATCTACACTTTCCAAGTAGTGATCTGTAAGTTAAATGATGAAGAATATTGATACTTCATTTACCCAACGTGGGTGGTTCTTTTGTTAGTTACGTAAACAATCAAATAGCAACTAGAATTAAGTACTTGTTCCATGTAAGTTAAATTTCCCAACTTGTGGTTTAACAAGCTGGATGAACATATATATATGAAGATATGAAAGATTGGTGGAAAACAGAACATAACTCAAGCCCTTGCCCCATGCATAACTTTAGTAAATTATATAAGAAGATATAGCAATTATTGTATAAGTTAGGAGATAAAGAATGAAACTGTAGGTACTTTGATAAATATAGTTTTAATCTTTACCTTCCTTTGAGAAGATTAAGTGTTAAATGAGCTAAGTGAAACAAAATAAAGTGCATGCCTTATTCTACGTAGGTCTTTAGTAAGTTAAGCGAAACAGAATCTAGTTAACATACCATAAACGAAGAAGGTCTTAAGTAAGTTGACATGGCGTGGCCATGTGGTTAGCGTGCCAAGCTTCGGATCGAAAGCCTCCAAACTTACGTTATTTAGCCGTTTGGTATTATGAAACTTTCGCCTTGCTGTAGCTCACGTGATAGTTTAATAAACCTTAAAAGACACTTACAAGAAATACTCTATAACATTCAATTTAAGTTAATTGAAAATAGCATAGCAAGTTAAGTTGCGTCAGGCAATAATTTAATAAATTAAGTGATTGAGAAGGTAGCTGCTAAATGGAATACTTTGGTAATGTGCTATAGAAGAATTAGCTCACTAAAGTAGTTTACTAAGTGTATTAAAAAGAGTGTAGTACCAAATTTCACCTACCATTCTTTGGAGTAGCTTTGTTATTAAGCTTAGAATTGGGTTGACATTACGACAAAGAATAGACACTAAAAAGTTTGAAGAAACTTTTTGGCAGAATAAAGCTCATGGTATAGAATGGACATTGTTTTGAAATATTTTAAACGTATTTAATGTAATTAAATTTACATACCACTGCCTTGCCATTACTAACTAAACATGCAGTCGTACAAGGGTCACTGTCTTAATATTCTGTAGCACATTACCCTTGATCTAAATAGCTAAATTAACAGTAATAAGCTAGAAGGAAGGTAGCTAGTCAACACCACCCACCGTTAACTCTTGGGCTACTCTTTTATCAACGAATAATGAGATTAACCGTCACTTTGTAACACCCCCACGGCTAAAAGGGCGTGCATTCTCGGTGACAGGAACTTGAACCCGCGACCCGCAGATTACGAGTCAAGAGTCCTATTAGAGGCATACATTAAAACAACTTTCGATAATCGACTGGTGAATTTTATTTGAATACTCGCCTGTTTTGCCTCCAGACACATATTTGATGATCACTTTGAAACGGCCCGGAATGGCCAGGTGGTTAGGGCGCTCGACTCGCAATTTGAGGGTCGCGGGTTCGAATCCCCGTCCCACCAAACATGCTCGCCCTTTCAGCCGTGGTGGTGTTATAATGTAACGGACAATCCCACTATTCGTTGGTAAAAAGAGTAACCCAAGAGTTGGCGGTGGGTGGTGATGACTAGCTGCCTTCCCTCTAGTCTTACACTGCTAAATAATGGACGGCTAGCGCAGATAGCCCTCGTGTAGGTTTGCGCGAAATTCAAACAAACCAAACCAATTACAAACAATACTTTCAGTCATTTAAGTTCCTGCAATAAAGAACTTTAAAGGGATGTCGAGTATTATTGGGGGTGATGCACTATTTTCAAAGAACCTATAATATCTTATTACACGGCGATGCAGATACCTCTTAGACGTGTCTATTCACATCTTCTCACAGTGAATTGGTTGCAAATATGACTTCTGGCTCCTTTTTTACACTCTTAACAACTGTACGTTTGTCACTTTCAGCCAACTTGAACGCCTTTTTTTCTATTTAGCTTATACTGCCAAGTTCCCAAAATGACCTTTTCACGTGTCGACTTTTCACATACGTTCTATAAGTCTCTTTTATTATTCATGCAAATCATTGCTTGTTTGTTTTTTAACCTCAATAGCTTTACACACTATTAGTCTACGTATCAGACGTGTGTCTCTATATACAATAAATCTCCTTGCAGAGCGTATTGGGTGATCTGTGTTATATATTCAAGGAATATCCAGATGTTTATGATAAGTCACTTGTCGCTAAATATATATAATTCGTAGCAAACGATTATACATGTACACTTAGGAAAATTTCTTTCGAAAAGAAATTGGGTTTTTCTCAATTCTTCTCTTTGTACCCCAAAAAATAAAAGAACAAAAATTGAAACCAACGTAAACTATATGAAATTAATGACATCGTTCAATGATCTGGAAATTGTTGAAACACGCACCCCAAATAGATTTACCCCACTTAGCTTTACCATTGTCTAATACGATGTTTTCGTGAAGTGAAAACTTCTAAACCCATTTTTCAACAACTGATTTTCTCTTCTTAAAATGTTATTAGCAAGTGTGGTTTCAATGGTCGGCCATATTTATGTCAGTTTGCACATTGCACACTTGAAAGATTTTTGCATACACTGTCACATATTGATGGTGATGGGTTAGTTGTTTCCCGAGTGTTATAGAAGGAACATGGAAGCTGCTGTATTACGTCTGTTGATGGCCAGGCAATCTTTTCCGTTTTATCTGTTGTATTCTATTATAGCTTTGCAAGTCCCTTTCTGCCTTTATCTTCTTAGGTGATGAAACATGCTTAAAAACTGATAATATGTAGGCTGGTGACAATGGGTCATTGCTAATCACACTTTTAAAGTAAATTAAAACCAAAATATTATACACTTCCTGGATTAGAATGGACTATTATTATACACACAAAAATTAAATATGGGATTTAGATATATATAGACACTACATGCATGTGACTGAACCCTAGTTATATTCATAAGCAAGTATTATTGTCATAGATTTACGTATAAATGCTTTTATCGTCAAATCGTTTGGATTCATTTATTAGAAGACGACCAAGCATTCAAAACTTCACTATGATTTCCATTACGTTTGATTCTATGGTATGTTCACTAAGATTTTCATTACGTTTGATTTTATGGTATGTTCACTACGATTTCCATTACGTTTGATCTTATAGTATGATGCAGGTGTTTAATAATATAACCAAAGGTCAAATGCATCACTTACCTCCAACAAAATGTTCGTTGCTTATACAACTGTTGTTAGCTGGCCACCAATCTTTCCTAATATTTGATAAGTCTTCTCGTTTTACTGCTGCTATCCGTTTCTCTCGTTGGTCAACATTGGCAGGAAATCTTTAGAATGACAGAGGCCGGATTTTTTTCCTCTGTAATTTTCACACACGACAGTTTGGTCAAACTGTCCTTGATTCCGCAAATTAGCATTAGATTTTACTTTGTATTTGTAAAATACACCATAAATAGACGATGTGAGCAAGCTGTTTTCACTCCAAAATGGCGGTGAGATGATGTATGCGTGACATCATGAGCAAAACTCCTCGATATGATTTTAATGAATTGCTTTTTGTAATAAACTTTACATGAAAGCTTTCAAGTTAATGAAACTAAAATCCATTTTGGTATAAAGTTGATAAATATAATTAACGAATTATGAGACCAGAAAAACTGTGGGGAATACAGAATAAGCTTCATAGTACTTTTAATTTGTTTATCTGAGGTGTATTTTTGTGTTGAAATTTATATGTTTGCCATCTGTTTGAAAAAGTAAAAGTTAAATAGAAATTAATTGACTGTTGACATCTGTAATATTATCATCTGTTTTCAAGATTAAAAGTTAAATAGAGATGACCATTAATTTTATTAATATTGTCGCTGAGTTTCGTTCCTCCTGTTCACAATAGTTTTAGATATTTTATTGCTTTTCTTCCAACTACTAGTTTTTAAAGTTAATTTGATATTGTTTACATATTGATATGCACATGTGGTTTTTCATATATTGAAAATTTTTAATAGATTACATTTTCGCAATTTTTTCTCTTCTTTGTCTCAATAATAAATCCAAAAAAAATATTTTTTATTCACATTCACCTTAGAAGAGGCATTAAAATAGTATCGTTAAACATTTCAGTTTATTTTGAGGTTTCTAAAATTTAGATGAAGACACTAATCACACTCCTGCTATTCAGACTAATTATCAAAATGGTGTCCATCATAAACCAAGTCTCTCGCGATATTTATATTTTCAAAATAGTCAGCCATTTATAAGTACGTTTCATTTATGCCCAGAAAGTAAGTGGAGAATTAGTTGAAACCTGAAAATAATTCTACGACTATACAGAAAGTGAAGGAGAAAGTTACAACACATCTTCTTACATGCCACTGCACTTCTGTCAGGTATATATATAGTAAAAAAAGAAGTTACAACATATTTTATGCCATCCCACAGTACTTCTTTCATGTATACATACAGTGAAACAAGAGGTTGCAACACATCTTCTTACATGCCACTGCACTTCTGTCAGGTATACATATAGTAAAAAAAGAAGTTACAAC